CCTCTTATTCAAACTTTTGAATATGTTTTTCAAGGTATATCTATGACTGGATATTCTTGTTGAAGTTGTAACTCAATTTGCTTTGGAAATTTGAGATAGGTAAAGTCCTCTCCATTATGAGAAACATACAAGGATTTGGATTTCTTTTTAAATTATTTAGAATTTGGAAAAACTCAAAGAGAGTTTGCCAAGATTCATCTGTGATTTTAAAATTCACGTGCAAATTAGATAAGTATAAACTGCAAATTTGATTTCTTTATCTTGACAAAAAGCTCTTTTATATTCATGAACTTTCTGAAACTTTTTCTTAACCTTTTAGACTTCCACATATTTTTTCCATAAGAATAGTGAAAAAATAAGCTTAAAACTCTTAAGATGTTTGGCAGAATCTGTTTCATAGACTGAATGTTGGTCCTAGAATTTTTTTTTTTTTTTTGAGATGGAGTCTCCTTCTGTTGTCCAGGCTGGAGTACATTGACACAATCTCGGCTCACTGCAAACTCCACCTCCCAGGTTCAAGCGATTCTCCTGCCTCAGTCTCCTGAGTAGCTAAGATTATAGGCATGTGCCACCACTCCAGGCTAATTTTTGTATTTTTAGTAGAGACAGGGCTTCACCATATTAGCCAGGCTGGTCTTGAACTCCTGACCTCATGATCTGCCCACCTTGGTCTCCCAAACTACTAGGATTACAAGTGTGAGCCACCATGCTCAGTGTGTCCTGGGAGGAATTTTAACCTTACAACTTACATATTTATGTCTCCTTTGAAGATGATTTTATCTCACATATCTTATTTTGCCAAAAGTGATTATTGAAATTATAGTAGTAATATAATATTACTTCTATTAATAACAACAATGGATTTCTGCCTAAAATTCATACTTTCCAAATGATATTTCTTCTTCAAAAATATTGATCTCTGTTCTAACCAAATTGTCTGTGACCTTCAAATATTTTCTTCAATGCATTATAAAAGGCAGTACTCAGCTAAATAATCATGACATGTTATATATGTGTACATGTGTAGAATCACAATTACATGTGTATATACATATTCTCCTTGTTCATTTGTTTAAATAATGTTGGCCTCATAGCTCTATCAGTTTCCTTTTGGTTTCTTGAACTTCTCAAACACTTTCCTGATACTCAGCCTCTTAAATAGCTGAGACTACAGGTGTACACTACCACATCCAGCTAAGTTTTGTATTTTTTTTTTTTTCTTTATAGAGAAAGGTTTTCACCGTGTTGCCCAGCCTGGTCTCAAACTCCTGGGCTCAAGCCATCCTCCTGCCTTGGCCTCCCAAAGTGCTAGGATTACAGCCATAAACCAACGCACCCACCCACTCTTCTCTTTGTTGCCCTCACTCAACCTTATTTTCCATTTCTCCACTCTTAACTTCTTATATCTTTCTTCTTTTCTTTTGTTTTGCTTTTGCCATAGAGCCATCAATGTTCTGTATGAGTGCCTCAGACACAAAAGTTTCTGAAACATTTGTTTTTTTTTTGGGAAAGAAAGTAGGGGATAAGAGGAACAGGGATGATATTCTGGTATAAAGACTCCCTACTCTCAGAATTAAGACATTTTTGAAATTGAAATACATTGCATAGAAGGGCCAAATTGCTGTTGTTGAGTGTATATGTATATATTCTCAACAATGGAGAACACAGACACGGAATGCTATCATTTATGAAGTATTTACTGCATGTTAGAAATTTTAGAAAAATAATAGCTAACACTTATTGAGTATTTGTTGATCACCATGTGGGGAACAAAACAAAACATTTTGTTTTTCAAAACAAAAGAAGAAAGATATAAGAATTTAAGAGTGGAGAAATGGAGAATAAGGCTGAGTGAGAGCAAAAAAGAGATTGTATCGACCTCTACACTCAATAGAATCTGAGACGAGGTCAAATAGCTCCTACAATTTCTTTCTGTAAACCAACGAGGAATGCTCCAGGAATTCAGAAAATATAAATCATGAAGCAAGTTCATGTAGAATTTATTTGCAAAATTCTGCAACCTCTGTACCTTTCCACTTCTAGTTTTCCACTTCTGTCCCCTCTGTTAAATCTCTTCAAACAAGAAAGTCTGTATGTTTGTCGTCAGGGTCAACAAAAATAAGGGGAAGTAAAAGAGCTTAGTTTCCACTCTCAGGCTTGTTACATATTCACACAAGAAGAGGGGTGATGCTTGTGAAGAAGAACTTCAAAAGAAAAAGGGAATAGAGGTAGGAGAGAGGAAAGAAGTCAGTTGAAGAGGTATAAGCCAAAGGCAAGGACAACCTGGGAGTAAGGGGCAGAAACTCATGTGTGTTTCCACTTTGGCAAAACCAAAAAGGGGATATTTTACAAGTTTCAAAAAATTTTTTCCTTATAGTTAATATTTTGTAAGTGAGCTAAATGGATATTTCTCATTTCACTATTACACTTTTATATTTGTTCCTACAATCCAGTTTAATCATTCCTAAACCTTTTTAATCCTGAGGCTAGTTCTCCTGGGATGGAAAAGCCTTTCTCTTTTTTTCTTTCCTTTAGGCCTGGTGGGAAATAACAGAAATCCTTCTCTGGTATTTGTGGTGTTGACCATGCATCTTTGGGCTCAGAAAGCACTGGATTCTTACTCCCCAACTTGCAGAGGGATAGACTGCTGTACCTCCATATCCTCAGGAACTGGCATGATTATAGGCAAGGAGTTAGTGGGATTAATGCACTAATATGAAAATGAATGAATGAATGTTTCGTAAGTGTGGTTTTAAGTTTTTCAGAAGAAGGCTGTTCATATACCGGTGCATAAAATCCTGGGCTGAGGACACGAGGGCTCCTAAGGCAAATGTGAAGTAATGGGATTTCTGATGAAGTGTGAGAAGGAGGCTAAGTAGGAGCTCCCTTGGCTTTGAATTCTCTGTTCTTTTTTCCCCTTCGTGCTTCCCTTTCCTGCCTTACCAACTCGGATCCTATTCTCATAGGCACTGGGCAGATGTGAGAGTGAGAACTGGACCTGGCACTCCAGACGGGAGATGATTGAGGAGTGAGGTGTGAGAAGAAAGGAGCAAAGTCAGAAGGGAGCCACCACCCCTAACTTCAGGGCTGCCCGTGGCACTGACTTCCCTGGATCCTTCTCAGGAAAGTAGGGGAATGACTAGTGCCATTCACAAGCTGTTTGGTTGACATTCTAAGAAGTTATTCAGCAAATTTCAAACAGAAAAAGAATGATATAATGGACCAAAAACAATAGTTCTCACCTTATTTATGATTTTTCTATTTCTGAATGAGTATTCAAATTTCATTGAGTACTCAAGTATAATTGGATTATTTCACCCTATCAAGAAATCACTTTATTCTCAGAATTTTCCTGTTAGTTGAAAATAGAAAAGTGTGTTATAAATTGCATAGGACTTTTACACTGTATATAGCTTACAACATATATTTATATGTAAGGTATTCATACCTAAACTTGAAAAGAGGGTAGGCATAGAGATTATATGTGATTACTCAAATATCAGTGTATGTATATTTCTATATATTATTTGTAAATATGTAAATATAATATATTTCTTATTAGAAATTATAGTTTGAATTTCATGGTAAAATTCATCCTTCCCTCTGGACATGGAGGCAAGTGCCCAATAAAATTAACAAACTTTTGCTCCAAGAGCACTTATTTCTGAGGGTGCAAAGTATCAATTTCAAGGTTGAGTTTCTTTAAAAATCAGGAGCTAATTTTTAGTGAATTAACATTCAAAGGATCAATATGACCTAATCCACCACCTGACAAGTGCTGGTATGAGGAAAATGTGGTCCCAAGACCACTGAGTTGAGGGTCTGAAAACAATTTTAACATGAAAATTTATGAAAGATATGGACACACACTAGATACCTCTCAACAGCCTAAGAACAATGTTGTGCTGGCAGAGAACAGGAAAAAAGACTGAAATTAACACTGAAGATATAATCTGAATCTTTCTTATGGGTTAACCTATTTGATGTTGTAATTCTATGAAAATCTCATGATTATTTTCAATTTTCCAAAGCATTTTTCTACATTTCCTTTTTAATAGCAATAGTCATTCAGGTCTCATACATTCGTTAGCTGAAGTTATTTTATTGATCTTCCTTTACTATCAATTAACTTTTAACCAAAGATATTTCCCACATTTGTTATCATAAACTTTTAGTATTTATTAATACAAATTTTTTGCTTTCTCCTAGAACCAAAGATATAAGATCTGTTATTATTAGATTTTTTTCCATTTCAGAAGCTTGAGTTTCTCTTCATAAATATTTTTATAAAAAACTATTCCTCTAATATCACTGGATTATCTATCAATATAGTCCTACTTGATAGTTAAACTACCTCTGATATCAGCCCACAGTACCTAGCAAAGTCAGATCAATGTCAATCTAAGCCTTTTTGTAAAAGGATTCAATTTATCACTGATCATAATGCTTGCTTAACAATGTTTAGTTTTCTAATTTGATGTGCAGTGCTACTACATCTAAAACAACAACTTCGCTTTTTCTATACAGCTATTCCTGAGAGCTGTATTCTCAACTTCCTCCCTAAATTTTTGGAAAGACTATTTAGTAATAAAAAAAGTCCATAGATTCTGTTTTAACTTTTCCATTCTTGCTTATTTTTACTTTCCATGAGACAAACCTAATAATGAAAAGCAATGCTAGTTAAAAATGTTGTCTCTAAAGGCCTGTCAAAGCTTGTATTTAGCATATATTTTTGGGGGTTGTGGGGGTGATGCAGCATAGTTCTTAGGTTTTTCTATTGCTGAAATAACACTGTAAATCTCTTCCTACCCGTGCCTTAAATTCCTCAGTATTTCTGGTCTTGCACAACAACATATCTGTGAGCTTATATGTCTTCTTAGAAATAACAGACTTACTTTGGAACATAAGCACTTAGGAAATGTTCAACCACTTGTGATCTTGCATTAGTACATTTTCCAAGCTATTCTAGGCAGAAAGAGCAACTCAGAGAAAGTTCTTACCTCTTGAAGGACGTAAGACAATGCACATCACCAATAAAGCAAGCACAGCAGAGGTGGCAACTCCAGATAGAATTTTTACCCAAACCTACATAAAATAAAGAGAATTAGGCATACACACAGTTCCTGCTAAATAGAAATGGCAAGATTTTGTTTACATTTAAATCCAATTTCTCTCACCCCACAAAGCTTTTGATTGTTTTCCACTGACCTGGCTATAATTACTGGAATTCTTCTAGCTCTGCAGGGAAAAATATTTCTACAATATATTTAGAGCAATTTTCCAATCCCAACCCATTCAGGAAGTAAATACTTATGTACAAATCCTTACCTTCTAAACAATAGAAAACTCTGATTACATTCAGCCAACCCTCATTTTTAAGCAATACTTGTGTTTGCTTATACTAACCTTCATTTTTCCAGGTGTTTTTGAAAGTTTGCTAATTCTGTCTTCAGAGTGTGGGTCACTGGATCTGTGAAAACCGTTGAAAAGGACCAAGTCTGTCTTTGCAGTTGGAAGCTGAAGTCAGGACAAGGTTTTTTCTTTCCACGGACTTTTGAATACCGTGCCAAGTTTCAAAAGATTTCTGTAAAATTAGAAACAGATTTTGGGGGCGTTCTTGGCCCTCACATGAACTGTGAGTGGCTCAAGGGAGGTTTTATAGCCTTCTCATCCTTGTAAATTCTATACCAACATCTGCTTACGTTGACATACAGAAGTTTTTCTTTTTTCTTTCTTTCTTTTTTTCTTTTGCAAGTTCAGGGTTAGGTTTCATTTTCTTCTAGAAATCACTCAGGGATCGCTTTAGCAAGTCATTGGGTTTTGTATAGCATTTTTATTTGCAACTAAAAAATGAATTTAAAATAATGAAACTTGCAGGTCTGTACATTAAACATATATCTAATTTTTAACAGAGGAAGAACATTGAAGCCACATAAGATTTTGTGAGAAATGTACCATGTAACTGCACTTTTTTTCCTCTGGAAGATTATGAGGTACTGCAGACAGAAATGTTTTTCTTTCAGCACAATTTCTTTGTCCATATAGCACCATATGCACTTTCAGTAAATACAGAAGTTTAAAAATTCAACTGTCTAAACCCACGGCTGCTTTACTTTAAAGAAATAAAATGCCATCTGGTGAAATTTAGTATGGGTTAGGTGTGTATGCACAGGCTAGAAAGATGGAAAGATCAGTAAGAATAATTTACCAGCAGACCTTTGGAAGAATGGAAATGGCTTTACAAGAGTGGTATTTTTGCTTTCCTCTCAGAATATCTTCTGAGAGAGGAGAACATTTAGTAATTATAAAGATTTAAAAATAAATTAAAAAGCATCTGAAAAGAGAAGTAAATCTTATGTACAATTTCATTTTGGCTAACTCTACATAATTCCAAAGAAATTGGTCATCTTGACAGATTAGTAAAATGGTTGACTGAATTAAAAAAAAATACACATACAACAGTTTCTTGGAGTGTTCTGTCTGTTTTAATGCAATTCGCTTGGATAGATTTTGTGATTCCACGTAAACACAGTTGTTAAATCTACTGTGTCCTTAATTTTTCCACTAATGGTTTTCTTTTTTGGAAATTTATAATGTTCCCAACCCCTTTAAAAGATTTCATGGCAACCTTTCTTGGATTGTACATGAAAGGTAATGGAGAAATGTTACCAAAACATGTTGCTATTTGCCTTAGACAACTTGTCTGGCTACGATGGGGCATTTTCTCCAGCAAAGAGCAGGACAGTGGCTTGTGAACTTCCTTTCAGACATTCTCCAGACATCCCTCCCTGAATTCCAGTCTTATGAAAATTCTGTTGAGGAAAATGAATCATTAGACATTTACTGGCAGAGAACTGTATTCCTGGTGGCTTGGGGCTGGGCCCTCTCCTTTGCTGTTGGTGGAGTCACCTCTTTACAAACTGAAGTAATCATTAAGAGTAATATCCAAGGGGTGCTATACACTTGCAGGTATCTCCAAGTGATTGTGCAACACTCAGATCTGAGATAAAAGCCACCAGCCAGGTCCTGAATGAATTGTTTCTGTGTAAGTCCTCTCAGATTGATTGCCTTCTCTGGAACACAGTGTGTTCTCAGAAGTTCTGTCCTAACCTGCCAAAGCCCCAGAAAACACAGGTAATTTTTAGTGGGTGATTACCAAGTGGTAACCTGCCAAAGCCCCAGAATACACAGGTAATTTTTAGTGGGTGATTCTCTTTACATTGTAGAGAGAAACGAACTATAATAAATGATTAGGGTATAATTAAAAGACCATGCTGAGAGCACATTAGTTCTAGCAATTAAGAATGCACTGACATGTGATTGATCTGAGCACCACTTAGGATTCTATGGCTGCATGTGGCCACAAGATACTCATTTAATAGGCTCTGTGAAGAAGTTGGGGTGCTTTAACACACATTTAAGTTGAAACAGTAATGGGGGAAAATGATGAGAGTGAAACAATGTCTTTTAAGTTTTTTCGTTTTTTCCTTGGAAGGTTGGGTAGGTCAAGCTGTAACTTCTGGGAAATTCTTACTAGTTTGAAGTGTTTTAAGAAAACTTAGACTGCAGAAATAAAGATGTCAAATTTTCCATCTGATTTCATAGTTTAGGGAGGTATTGTTTTTATAGAGTCACACATGTTCATTCATTTGAGATAATGTGAATGTGTTCTAATTTTCATCCAGACAAGAACTCTTAAAAAATTTGGATTTTTAAAATATTATAACATCTTTATGAGCTTTTTTTTTTTTAAATTTTGGAGTCAAAATGAAAATGCTTTTGCTAACTTTTTAAAAACACATAGAAAACTAACTCTTATTCCTACTTTTACATTTGTTGAGAAAACAAAAATGAATCAGACACAGTCTGTGTCCTTAAGGAACTTACATTCTAGTACAAGTATGGCAGGTACATTCTTACATACTTGCTTCCTTCAGCTTCCTAAATCTCTTGCTCAGAAATAGCCTGAAGCTGAGCTTGTGTTCAGTAGAAAGAGTTTTCTCACTGGTTGGTGATTTCTGCATGGACCTGGGAGGAGGACCAGAAAGGACACATACTACATTCATGTAATCCTTAGGTCAAGTCTAACTTTTGTTAGAACTGAGACTTTTCTCAGAAAGCAACTCTGGATCTATTAAAATACTATAAAATCAGAAAGGATGACGTTGGCATGTAAAAATGTAAGGACAACAATTAGGAGAGTAGAGGCTCATCAACTGAGTTTTTTCCAGAGAGGGACCTTGTAAGGTTGACTTTGGAATATGATTACATTCTGATAAGCCCAGTGGATAAGTGAGCTATAACATAAATCCTTAAGTTATAAGGAGGAGAGCTTACTAGAACTATTTATTAGAAGCCAACATATGTCTGCAAAATTATTTTGATTTATATGTTTTCCCAGAACAACACATTCAGAGATATATTCCTAGAGTCTGAAGGTAAGATCATGCTGAAAGCATGAGGATGTTATATATATATATATATATATATATATATATATATATATATATATTTTTTTTTTTTTTTGAGACGGAGTTTCACTCTTGTTACCCAGGATGGAGTGCAATGGCGCGATCTCGGCTCACCGCAACCTCCGCCTCCTGGGTTCAGGCAATTCTCCTGCCTCAGCCTCCTGAGTAGCTGGGATTACAGGCACGCGCCACCATGCCCAGCTAATGTTTTTGTATTTTTAGTAGAGACGAGGTTTCACCATGTTGACCAGGATGGTCTCGATCTCTTGACCTCGTGATCCACCCTCCTCGGCCTCCCAAAGTGCTGGGATTACAGGCTTGAGCCACCGTGCCCGGCTGAGGATGTTATATTTTTATTTAAGGGAGGGAGATGAAAGAGAGATATGTCAATTAACCAAAAGTCAAGGCAAGTTATTTAAGGGCAAGTTACAAGTTAGGAGAATAAGGGTACAAGTGCAGTAAACATAAGCCTGATTTTACATTCTTTAAAGTAAAAATTTGCTTCTAGAAAGCAAAAGCTCGTAACATCCTACCCATTTGATTCCTCGGATTCAATACACATTTATTGTTCACTGTCTGTTATCTCCAAAGTGATTTAATACATTACTTCATATGATCCATACCAAAACTCATTTTGCTGATTAGGAAACAGCCCAGAAAAACTAGATAACTTGCCCAGGATTTTAACAAGACCCGGTGTTACTATCTTACATTGCTTCTTTGTGATACTTTCTCAAATTTTATTCCAAAATGATAAATATTTTTTTAAAAATTATAATTGACATTTCACTGATTTGCTATTGGGGGACACCATAGGGATGTGAAGGTAAAATAATTAAGGCTAAAATATTAATGATCTTCAGATCCTCAGAGTACTTTGTTAAATATATCTCAAAAGAACACAATTTCACTCTACAAAGACTGTTCCACATATTAATTTGTTTCAAGCTTTTTTTTTTAATTGGGGTCTAGTAATCAGATAATTATTTATATAGTGCATGGGTTAAAATCTCTCCCTCCACAGACTTGCCTAAATGAAAGGATTCGTCAACATACCCATCATCCAAAGAGATTTTTGAGTTCCAAGCTAGGAAGAGTCCTGAGGTCTTCAAAGCTCAAAAATAACTATCACATAGTTATAGATCTGGAAGAAGTGGCATAATATAGCACCAGTGAGAAACGATATAGCTCAAACTATTTTTTGAATCTGATCTCTTTTCTAAAAGCACAACTGTTACATAAGGAAGAATATAAAGCCACATGCCTCCCAGTCTGTAATTTGTACCTACTAGCTTCATCAATGTTAGAATTAGATGTCAGTGTTTTATTATCCTATCATAATTGGGGCAAGTTCTCTTTGGAGACCCAAAGGGTTGACTATCAAAATGAGATTAGAAAAGAAACAGAACAGAGACACAACCCATTTCTTTGAGTGCTGAGGACACAAAGACTCAGGAGATAAATCAGTGCTTCACTGTCATTTAAAAATTGAAATATTACATCTTTTTAGAAGTGGGTAACCAACAAGAAGACTGTTTGAATAATATAAATAGAATATGTAAGCACCTATAGACTTTAACATAACTTATTAACACATATTGTTATTTCGTTAGCACTTTTAGGTAGAGAATATTGCAACTAGTAGTTAATGTCTAATGAACACTTTTATTGATCATGAAGTTTTTCTCGGCACTTCGCATGTACTATTGCCTTTCATCCCCAGAACATTCGTACTATTATTATCCTCCTTTTACAGATGAGGGCGTGGAAGCACAGAAAATTAAATAACTTCCCCAAAGTCCCACAATTTATGGGTGGTAGAGATGGGATAAACCCAGGTAGTCTCACATTGTATAACACAATTTGATTGATTCATGCTTAGGGCTCTGATAAAAGGGTATTTACTGGTACAGTGATTGGTATATATAATCCAGCTGGAACCGGGAGGAGTTGAAGATGAAAGGAAAAAATACATGGGCTAATAAACTGGACATTTTGACAAATTCAAAGTATGAGGAGTAGTAGTAACTAGTAATAAGGTGGAAAATAAAAGAGGTTTTTTTTTTTTTTTATGAGATAGAAGCAGGTTGTATTTAAGAATTCAGTTCAAGTT